TGTACTATAATATACACAAAGAATATCGGCCAATATATCGATATCGGCCTTTTTTACTCCCTAATATCGGTATCAGCCCCAAAAAACTAAAAAAATATGTTGTTCCTTGGATCTGATTTCTGGTGGGCAGGACATAATCTTTTCCACAGGCTTTTCCTGAGTTTTATAGATTAGGGTTTGATCATTTCAGAGCTTTCACAGCACCATTTAAGAAGCCAGTAATATTTTTCTCTATTCTAAATGCTTTAAAAGACCTGTACATTATAAGGTTTTCAATTCATCTTTTTTTTTTTTTTTTCCCCCTTATAGGTGGGTGACATTGTGAAAGTGACTAGGATGAACATCAGCGGTCAGTGGGAAGGGGAGGTAAATGGCCGGAGAGGTTTATTCCCTTTCACCCATGTGAAAATATTGGACCCCCAAAACCCAGATGAGAGCGAATGATCTGGGCCATGCGCTGTCAGCACCCCGTCAGCTCGCCGGCCTCCCCATCAAGTCACCACCGGTATTACGCTTGCCTGCCTTGGGGCGCAGCCGTGGCACATTTCTCAAGCAAACCATTTGCGTGGCTTCTGACTGTTTACAGCTCCGAAATCAAACTGTTTGTAATCCCCCTCACTTGGTTACAGGCGAATCAGTATTTTTTTTGTCTGCCCTTAATATTCTGTTGTTTCCACACATCGGCCATCTGTACCTTTGACGAGGTGAAATGAGGCCTTCAACGTGACCTGAGCCTTCTTGCCACTCTCCTGCAGTTTTTTTTTGTCTTCAGCTTTGACTTTTGCCAGCTAAACTATGTTGTGTTAAGAAAGGGAAATGAGGATCATTATACCCTCTGGTTTGATTGCCAACTGTTCACCCAAATTTGGTCTTTTAGTTTGTCTTTTGTTACATTTAAACAGAATCCTAGTGATACTGATCTGACCTTTTGGTAACAGCCATGATTGAAGATGAAGGTAGGGTATTGCAGTGGCAGGTTCTTAGAGTAGCAACAACTGCACCACTCCACCTGATTGACCTTAGAAGCAGACTCACCAGTTAAAGTCTTTATTTTTTTTTCCTCCGCTAGTATGTGGGACTAGTCTACTGTAGCCTTTTTATTTGTGCCATAATAACTTATCTGTAAATTGCAGTAGTAGTGTAGCTAGATGGTTGTGGCTAGACTCTCGGGGGATCTTTTGAATGGTGAAGGGCTTGCCTGTGGAGCTTTTTGCATCGGGTTGTGAATCCTTCGATGCGAGATTGGGTCTGGGGAGAGTAAAAACGCACCTCATCTATTCCATTGGACAAGCTGGAAATGTCACCTGTGCAATCATGAGCTCATCTCTGAGGACTGGATTCAGTGTCTGATTCTCCTACTCTGTAAAGGTGGCAGTAACTTTGGATCTTGCTCCATTTCATGACTGTTACTGCACATCACAAGGTCTCTGCTATAACTTTGATGGGTTCTGCCCAATTTTGATTCAGTAACCTGACATAAACATGACTTTTAGGTTTTGTCCATCTGTAATCAGTTTATTTTATTAGCCAGGTGTTACTGTGTGTTGAAATAAACTGGCATTTTCTAAAAAAGGGATTTAAAAAGCCTGCTGGTGGCCTCTGTGCATGACCTTCTGGCCAAGAGGGATGTCCCTCTTAGGTTAACTGCTGCTTCATGTCATGTCTTTTATTTCTGGCTGTTGATTTTTTTTTTATTTTTCCTTTTTGAAATTAATCTTTGTCTGGTTTAAATCCCTAGCATCAAACATTCATATTAAGCAACCCATAGACCAACCCATATCTTTTAGAAGTGCTCGAATAATTTAAGGTTTCAAATACATACGTTTTTCTTTAACAGTATTACTGTTTATTGTTTCACATTACAAAATATCCATGTGGTCTCATTCATTGAAAATGAAAATTTGTGCCTTTTTATTTCCTTACATCTACATGTGTTAATATTTCCCATGGTTAACACCCGTGCTGGTATTACCCATTATGTACAGAACGAGTAAATAAAATTTATGTCTACTTCTCTGTGAGTGTATCACCAACTTTCTGTGTATATGGACTTGCCGTGGTTATGAAGAATCTGAAAATATTAGGAAATATAATAGAATTTAATATAATTCTAAAATGCTTTGGACATTTACATAGTGAATACTGTTTTCTTCACTATTGTGTTATTGTTTACATCCGCATTTTAAATATTGGTACCACACATACAAATGAAAATCCATCCCAGCGGTTTCTGCTACATTGAATCCTAAAAATAAAACTTGTAATCACAAATGGCTGCTTAGGAAAAAGTCTTAAATGAATTAAAGGTAGAGTTCGTCCAGCAATGAAAAATCTGTCATTTACTCATCAAGTTGTTTCAAATCTATGAATTTCTTTCAGATGTTGAACACAAAAGATAATACTTTAATAAATGTTGGTAACCAAACAGTCGACGGTTGCCATTGACTTCTATAGCATGGAAAAAATACTATGGAAGTCAATGGTTACCGTCACCTATTTTGCCAACATACTTGAAAATATATGTATATATATATATATATATATATTTTTTTTTTTTTTTTTGCATCAACATCATCACAACAGTTCAAAAATGATTTGGTGCAAAATGGGTTCTTCGTGGCTCATTTGCTTGTGTTTCCTTGTCTGATGGCATGGATTCATCATGGCAGTCTGCCTTAGCTATTTAAGAGCACTGTCACAACTGGTGACAAAGGACTATTCAGGGAAAGTTTGTACACAACAACCTGGAGGCTATTTAAAGGTAAAGTGTGTAATTTCTTCGACACTATATAACAGCAACAAATAGGACTCCAGTCTGTTTGAGCAGCTCTATCATTTTCCTAAGGCTATAGTGTGATGAGTCACAATAGATAATACAGCTAAATAGATTGCAAATCTTGTATTTCTCATACAAAATGGGTGGTTCCTAGCCAGAATAAGCTGCAAACTGGACCAGACTGATTTAAGTTAAAAGTCAAAAGAGTGACTAAGCGGACGTAACAACCTTTGTTGAGTCAATGTAAATGATGAAGGATGGGCGGAATGAAATTACTCACTTCGCCTTAAAAGTGGTCTCTATGTTTCAACTATGTAATCAGTTCTAAAAAATGAATTTAAATGTAACCTACTTCCAGAAAACTTTGCAAATTAAAATATATCAAACGCCAGGTTTTGTTATTGAGATACAGTCAGTCACTCTTTAAAGCCAGCTAATTGTTATTTGCAAGGCGTCTGCTCATGGCTTTGAGATGATAGTGTTAGTTTAAATATTCTTACAAACAGGTGCAGATAAGTTTGACAGCATCAAACCATTACCCAGGACTGTGTATCCGATTTGGAAGCCTGCAATGGAGGAGCTAAAAATAAAGCAAATTGCGCAATTGTTGCTGGGCTTTGATATTTATTGACTGATATTTATTTTAGGAAGCTTGTAGAGGGAGAAGTGGACTTTATGTCAAGAGGCGTAAAAGTAATTTGATTTATGTCAAGATTAAATTAGCATTGCATACATTTCAGTGATGACACAATTTTTTGTTGTTGTTGTATGAGCAAAACTCCAGATTTATTACATATAAGTTACTTGTTTTTGTAAAAGTAATTTGATTTATGTCAAGATTAAATTAGCATTGCATACATTTCAGTGATGACACAATTTTTTTTGTTGTTGTATGAGCAAAACTCCAGATTTATTACATATAAGTTACTTGTTTTAAATCTTTTAAAAGATAACCAGAAGTGAAAATTAATTCACCAAGATGTAGATGAGTTTGTTTCTTCATCCGAACAGATTTGGAGAAATTTATCTTTACATCACTTGCTCACCAACAGGTCCTCCATGATGGCTGCATCTGACATGCCTGTAGACACAGGTGAACATCATGTCACATACATTGAGTTTTCAAAGCCTCGACCTTTCCTTGACCCCTGTGACCTTTACTTCCTACAGTGCATCGCTCTCGAGGGAGAATGCAGAACCTTTCTGCTGAAAGTTTGTGCCTGTAACAGGAACCTCCTCGTCTCTTCTATGTATGAATGAGGGCTTTAAATAGTCCCTGAGTCATGTGGTATCACTGAGGCCTGGTGGTCAGACACATTCTGTGTTTTTGAATGCTGTATGTACTTGTTCCTTGATATGCTGAGCTAACTTGAAGTTCTATTACATAATGCATCACTCGCCCAATTGATTCCCTGAATAGTCTTTTAACTAAATGCTTGGTGGGATGATACTCACTCTCTAAGTGCTTGACGATGCCACGGAGGCTGTTGCCATGGGCTGCGATTATGACATTTTTGCCGGCCTTGATCTCGGGTACAATAACCTCATTCCAGAAAGGCAGGGCACGAGCGATGGTATCCTTCAGGCTCTCGCAGATGGGAAGCTCGCCCTCTTTCAGACCCTTGTATCGTCTTGACTGGTGAAAGATAGGAATGGAACATGATCAAACGTGCAGCCAAGCCATCATCAGTGTTTACATGAGTGACGTAAAAGCAAAGTGTCACATGCATCAATGAATTATGCCAGAATTAAATGTATGAATAATTTTACCAATAAATAGTTTAAGATTAATATATAAATTCATATATAATATTGATATGTAGTATATATTTAAGATTTTTTTATATATATATATTTATATATAATAAATCTTAAACTATTTGCAAACATTTAATATTTATCATAAATATATATTATTATTATTATATATGATATATATTTAAATGTATATTATGAGAAAATTTATATAATAATTTTATTATATATATATATATATATTGATTTAATATTTCTTTAACGTCTGATCTCTTTCTCTTACCTCACTGATGATCTTGTGGTATGGATGGTCCTTATCCATAGGAGGAGGGGGAATATCAAATGATCTGCGCCAGATCTTGACCTGCTCCTCTCCGTGCTTGGCTGCTGTCTCTGCCTTGTTCAGACCAGTCAGACCACCGTAGTGACGTTCATTCAGACGCCAGGTGCGCACTACAGGCAGCCACATCTGGTCTGTGACCTCCATGATGGTCCACAGAGTCTTGATGGCACGCTTCAAAACGGAAGTGTAGCACACATCAAACTTCATGCCTGCATCTTTGATGGCTTGAGCACCTCGCTTTGCTTCCTCCAGACCCTTTTCACTGAGGTCCGCATCAAACCAGCCACAGAAGCGGTTCTCTTGGTTCCAGGAGCTCTCACCGTGGCGTACAATCACTAGACGATGAGCAGCAGCCATTTTGAACGAATTTGGGTTTTACTACAGTATTTTCTAGACTAAACCCACCAAACACAGCCCTCCTTGCTGTTGTGCACACACTCTGTGACAGACAGTGAGTTCTGCTTGCCTGTGCTATGCTCTTTTTATAGCATTCTGGTATGTGGCCCATCATATATGTCAAATCTATTCTGCTTTGTACCAATCAGAATGTTTCACTTTCAGAATGACAGCTGAACTTACCAATTGACTCATGTGTAAGGGGCGGACCGGATATCTATCTACTGCTCGAAGGGCAGAGGTCGTGAACAGATTCAAAATAGCAACATGACTTTTAAACTGAGAAGTGTGGAATAAAAGTGCAAAGATCAGAGTAAGCCTTAGATCTCAGAGGCCATCAGTAAACACTGTAGCTCAAATGTAGAGGCCTTAATGTGTAGTACAGCAAGAGTTTCCTGGCTTTTTTGGTCACTGGGGATTTAAGTATCCTGTTAATCTTTTAATAGTTAGCTATAATGAACTTAATGTCAAAGTATTATGTATATAACAATTTAATTAAAGAAAATAATGTACGTCTATGCAACATTTATATTTGAGTTTGTCTGCTTACAATAAAAACATAGCATGGTCTTATTAAAAAGCTCATTTAGTTTATGAAGTTCATTATTGCTAGTTATTAAAGTGTTAACTCTATTTAAACACTATTTAGAAGTAGAAAAAGCAATTCAGTCTGCAAAAGGAGAAACATTCACTTTGTCCATGTGTATCATTTTATATGTATTACCTTTCATATCCAGCAGATGCGATGGTGTGTTTCCACAGGTAAAGCACTGAAAATAGAGCTGTAACCCCCCCCCCTCTCTCCCTCTCTTCCTCCAGCTTTCATCTCTGTATCTGCAGTGGAAACTGTGTGTGGTATGCATATATTTTAGCCATTTACATACCATAATTAGGTTCATAATTAAATTACATATTAAATCCAGGCACAATGCAAAGCATGATTTGCTTAATTTGAGCTTCTTATGCAAATAATGACCTTGGTGGCATTCGCAGTGTGTATACTTAAATGTATAAATTTAGCATTTTGTTTTATGTTTAAAAATCTCATAATTTCTTATCAAAATTGTATTATATGCCTTGCCTTGCACATAGCTCTCACTGTCTCTCTCCCGCTCTCTCTCTTTCTGCTATTGATACTGCGTTGTCAGAGTTTAGAAAATCACTTGCGTCAGAGCTCCTTTCTGGCTATATAAGCTGCGCTGACTGCGGTAGGAGCAGCAGATCAGTGTTTGAGGGCTGATCGAGCTGACTGTGGTACTGAGGCACAGAGCAGCTTTTCATTCAGACGCCAGGTGCGCACTACAGGCAGCCACATCTGGTCTGTGACCTCCATGATGGTCCACAGAGTCTTGATGGCACGCTTCAAAACGGAAGTGTAGCACACATCAAACTTCATGCCTGCATCTTTGATGGCTTGAGCACCTCGCTTTGCTTCCTCCAGACCCTTTTCACTGAGGTCCGCATCAAACCAGCCACAGAAGCGGTTCTCTTGGTTCCAGGAGCTCTCACCGTGGCGTACAATCACTAGACGATGAGCAGCAGCCATTTTGAACGAATTTGGGTTTTACTACAGTATTTTCTAGACTAAACCCACCAAACACAGCCCTCCTTGCTGTTGTGCACACACTCTGTGACAGACAGTGAGTTCTGCTTGCCTGTGCTATGCTCTTTTTATAGCATTCTGGTATGTGGCCCATCATATATGTCAAATCTATTCTGCTTTGTACCAATCAGAATGTTTCACTTTCAGAATGACAGCTGAACTTACCAATTGACTCATGTGTAAGGGGCGGACCGGATATCTATCTACTGCTCGAAGGGCAGAGGTCGTGAACAGATTCAAAATAGCAACATGACTTTTAAACTGAGAAGTGTGGAATAAAAGTGCAAAGATCAGAGTAAGCCTTAGATCTCAGAGGCCATCAGTAAACACTGTAGCTCAAATGTAGCTCAAATGTAGAGGCCTTAATGTGTAGTACAGCAAGAGTTTCCTGGCTTTTTTTGGTCACTGGGGATTTAAGTATCCTGTTAATCTTTTAATAGTTAGCTATAATGAACTTAATGTCAAAGTATTATGTATATAACAATTTAATTAAAGAAAATAATGTACGTCTATGCAACATTTATATTTGAGTTTGTCTGCTTACAATAAAAACATAGCATGGTCTTATTAAAAAGCTCATTTAGTTTATGAAGTTCATTATTGCTAGTTATTAAAGTGTTAACTCTATTTAAACACTATTTAGAAGTAGAAAAAGCAATTCAGTCTGCAAAAGGAGAAACATTCACTTTGTCCATGTGTATCATTTTATATGTATTACCTTTCATATCCAGCAGAGGCGATGGTGTGTTTCCACAGGTAAAGCACTGAAAATAGAGCTGTAACCCCCCCCCCCTCTCTCCCTCTCTTCCTCCAGCTTTCATCTCTGTATCTGCAGTGGAAACTGTGTGTGGTATGCATATATTTTAGCCATTTACATACCATAATTAGGTTCATAATTAAATTACATATTAAATCCAGGCACAATGCAAAGCATGATTTGCTTAATTTGAGCTTCTTATGCAAATAATGACCTTGGTGGCATTCGCAGTGTGTATACTTAAATGTATAAATTTAGCATTTTGTTTTATGTTTAAAAATCTCATAATTTCTTATCAAAATTGTATTATATGCCTTGCCTTGCACATAGCTCTCACTGTCTCTCTCCCGCTCTCTCTCTTTCTGCTATTGATACTGCGTTGTCAGAGTTTAGAAAATCACTTGCGTCAGAGCTCCTTTCTGGCTATATAAGCTGCGCTGACTGCGGTAGGAGCAGCAGATCAGTGTTTGAGGGCTGATCGAGCTGACTGTGGTACTGAGGCACAGAGCAGCTTGTCCTTGGAGCCATGAGTGCCGTTGGGTTTGACCCCTACTTCTCGTCCTCGTACAAGCGCTGGTATGTGGAGAGCAGCCCCCGGGTTTCTCAGCGTGGTCGTTCTCGCACCACTTTCTCTGCCCATCCCCCTTCTCTCTCCTCGAGCCGCCTCCACTATGCCTCCCCCGGAAGGACCTCCGCCGGACTGCTGCTGAGCAGCCCTGGCCGCTCCGTGGACATGGACATCAGCCATGCCACCCAGGTAAGCTCCGAATTCCGGGCAGTGCGAACTCAAGAGAAGGCCCAGCTGCAAGAGCTCAACGACCGCTTCGCCGGTTACATCGAGCGTGTCCATGAACTAGAGCAGCAGAACCGTGCCCTGGAGGCTGAGCTGCTCCTGCAGAGGCATGTGGAGCCTTCCCGCCTGAGGGGCCTGTATGAGCAAGAGGTCCGCACTCTGAGAGCTGCCGTCGAGGAGGCCCGCATGGAAAGGCAGGCTGCGCTGAGCCACCGCGAGAGTATGGAAAATGCCTTGCAGAGCCTGCAGGCCAGCTACGAGGAAGAGGTGGTTGCCCGTGAGGACACCGAAGGCAGGCTTCTGGAGGCCCGCAAGGAGGCCGACGACGGCGCTCTGGCTCAGGTAGAGCTGGAAAATAAGGTTGATACGTTGCTAAATGAGCTGGCGTTCCTGAAGAAGGTCCACGAGGGTGAGATCTCAGAGCTGCAGGCCCAGATTCAATATGGAGCCCAGATCGCCATTGAGGCGGAGACCGCCAAGCCCGATCTGTCCAGTGCCCTGCGCGACATCAGAGCCCAGTACGAGAAGCTGGCAGCCAAGAACATCCAGTCAGCTGAAGAATGGTTCCGTGGGAAAATGGGCCACCTGACGGAGAGTGTGGTGCACCACACTGACGCAGTGAGGAACTCCAAGGATGAAGCGGGAGAGTATCGCCGCCAACTTCAGGCATGTGTCCTTGAGATCGATGCCTGCAAGGGTCTGAATGAGTCTCTGGAGAAGCAGCTCAGGGAGGTGGAGGACAAGCAGAGTGCAGAGATTGCAGCCATGCAGGTTAGTTCTACTAAGAACTATTTTGAGTAATTTAAGTTCTCAGCCCATTATTTTGACACTCATCCTTCCCTGCAGGATACAATCAGTGACCTTGAGGATGAGCTTCGAGCTACTAAGGGCGAAATGGCGAGATACCTTAAAGAATACCAGAATCTTCTCAATGTCAAGATGGCACTCGATATTGAGATAGCTGCTTACAGGTTAAACTGCTAATATAAAGTCAGATATTTAGATTCATGTCAATGCTTCCGATTCGTCACATTATCTTTTCTGTTTTTGCAGGAAGTTGCTTGAGGGGGAGGAGTCTCGCTTCAATGTGGGTGTGGGAGGATTGGTCGGTGCTTACTCTGTTGGTCCCGTTTACTCCCGACCCATGTTCTCACTGTCCACCCTGAGCTCTGGCGCCCCCTACCTGTTTGGATCTCGCCTGGTTAGTGCATCACTCTCAGCCGATGAGGCCATCACATCCAGTCAAGCTCAAGAAGCTGCTGCCAGTCCTACCAAGGAGGAAGAGGAGGAAGTAAAGGAAGAGGAAGCGGAAGAGAAGGAAGAAGAAGAAACAAAGGAGGAAGCGGAAGGTAAGATTTGTAATTAAGAATTCTAAATACTGACAAGATGTGCATTACTAAATTACTGTTTTAAACAGGTGCTGAAGAGGAAGCTGAAGCAAAGGAAGAGGAAGCTGCAGCAGAGGAAGAGACTGAAGCAAAGGAAGATATTAAAGGGGAAGAAGAGGAAGGAGATGAAAAAGAGGGAGGTGGGGAAGAGGGAGAGAAAGGTGAGGAGGAGGAGGAGGAAGTGGCTGCAGAGGAGGAAGTAGAGACCGAGAAAAGTGAGGAGAAAGCTGACACATGTGCTGATAAGGCCAAAGAGGATACAGAGGCAGACAAGAAAGACACTAAAATAGAAAAAGACAAGGTCGAGAAGGAAACTGAGAAGGAAAAAGTTGAGCCTAAGACTGAAAAAGCCAAAGAGGATGTCGAACCTGAACCAGCCAAGGAGAAAACTGAACCTGTACCTGGACCAGAGACAAAGGATAAAGGCAAGGAAGAGCCAGAAAAACCCAAAGCTAAGGAAAAGGCAGAGCCAGAAAAGCCCAAGGGAAAAGACGAAGGTGAGAAAGGCAAGAGTGAGAAAAAGGAAAGTGTGAAGCAGGAAAAGGGAAAGGAGAAACCCAAGGGGAAGAAGTAATAAGTCGGATCTATAACCGCACAAATACCAGTAGCCTGACCTGCTTCTCTAGTTCTCCTTTAATCTGTAACTATCAACATGCCTTGATCAATGGTGCTCAGAGCATTTGAAATCAGTCAACTTTATCAGCTTTTAAAACAATGATTGTCTGATGTTACTGAGATGATCTACATATCTGAGTGAATGTATGCTTGTGAAGTAGATTATATTTTTGAGGCATCAGTCTTGCAACAGATTGTAAAAAGTGAATATTTGCTGCCAGTGCAATAAAACATGCTTCTTGATGATCAAAAAGACTTTTATTTTATTTTTTTTTACATTATTTGTGGGTGTAATCATATTTAATAGTTTCCTTACTCAGAAGTTCTCTAATATCTGCTTAGTTTAATGGATGCCTTTAGCTATTTAAAGCAAATCTGAAACTTTTAATATGAAAGGTATGAATCTGCAACACTTTTAAGAGTTATAAAAAGGTTGTGGATTTAATTTTAAAACAATATGCAGAATGCCTTAAGTGGGTAAACTTCATGAATAGAAAACTCCAGTGAGACATTTATTAAGAGATTTACTCATGTGATCTTTAATAAAAACGTTTTTGTACTTGTACACATCTTTTAAACGTTTTCAAAGGTGCCTCTAAAAAAGTTAAACTTTGTATAGAACCATTTAAAACAGTGCTATACAGAAAACACATGTATGTAAACATGCACAGACATCAGGAGATAAAATTGACAGTATAAGAGTACATATAAATTTGTCAGATGGAAATCTGGGTCATGTTACTAAAGACACCAATTTCAATGTAAAATAGACCGTCGTTAATGTTACTGTTAGTGTATATACTTTGAAAATACTTTTCAGAATTATATTTATTAGCATACTAATACAATTCTGGAAGCTTTTTATTTAATGTATCTGTAACACCACAATAAGGTTGTGAATACATTAACATCACACAATTTTATCAGTTTTTTAAATCTTTGCTTAAATTTCTTCGTATAGGCTACTAATTCATTTTTATATCAAAATAATGAGATGTACGAACAACAAATATACAAAACCATATTTTTGTATTAACAACCAGCATACTAATACAATTCTGGAAGCTTTTTATTTAATGTATCTGTAACACCACAATAAGGTTGTGAATACATTAACATCACACAATTTTATCACAGTTTTTTAAATCTTTGCTTAAATTTCTTCGTATAGGCTACTAATTCATTTTTATATCAAAATAATGAGATGTACGAACAACAAATATACAAAACCATATTTTTGTATTAACAACCAAAATTATATTTGATATTTATTAATGCACAATACTTTAGAATGGCTATAGAAAACGTTACATGCAATGTGATAATGTAAATAACCTTGATTTATAGTGTTACAAAGAGTCACAAAATCATATTTCTTATCATATACCTGTATTCATGGTGATATTTACTCCATTCTACCACAACTGGTTCTGTCAGGCTGCTGTGAGTGACAAAACAGTCATAAGATCCTTTGTGATTTCTGTCAAGCTCCACACTGGTTCTCATCTGAAAGGTTTCATCAACATTTGGTCTGATTCCAGATGATATTTGGCTCTCAATGTTAATTCTGTCCAATCTGATGTTCATCTTAATATCTCTGGGGTAGAAACCAGTGACCAGACAGCTCAGAACCAGCTTACTGTGATCATCAGGAGCTTTCCTGGCAAAGACACGAACATAATAATGCAATCAACAAATAAACCAATAATTCTCTCTCACTGTGTGAAAAACAAACGTTGTCTTTATAATTATTAATCGAATACTTTAGTTAGCTGGCATGAGATCCATTGTGGCAGTCTTATCTTTTAATGGCACTTAGATTTCCTGACGTCCACACATAACTGTAGTGAAAACTTTTGCATATGTGATCAAACACTTTCATGTATTTTTAGAATTTAACCAAATTAAGGGTTTTCACATTGCAATGGGCTGCTGAAGAATATCCCAAACCCAGAAGTGAAAACCATGTTCAAATGAGAATATTTCAATGCATCAAATAAGAATAATGCTGCCAAACCTGTACTTTACAGTTTTACATTTGCAACTCTTCATTAGTACAACATATAATACAAACTACTGCCGTACTGACAACTACAGGTGCATCTCAATAAATTAGAATGTTGTGGAAAAGTTGCTAAATTACTAGCAGGGGCGATTTTTGGATTTTCATTTTACAAATAGTTCACAAAACATGAGGTGCATATTTGGAGTCCGTTGTAGCAGTATCATGGAATTATGCCCTGGGCTGAATATAGAAATAATTCGAATATGTTTTTGAATGGACTGAAAAGGCAAAAATACTTTAAGTTTTCTCACTTTTATTTTTTTAATTATGTATCATATTTAATGTAACGATGGGCAATTAACAACACTGATCCCTTGAACAGTCCGTTATGAATGTTGCAGTGTCGTATATCTCTGATGGTGCACTCTCGGCCTGCAATACAGCAACATATTCATTTAAATCATCACATAGTATGGGCTATTACTGTCATGTCGGCAGATTTTTCAAAGCTGATTGAACAAAACATTCAATAAAAATAATATACATATCGATGTAAATCATTTTAAGCAGATATTTTAAGTTGCTGGCCTTGTAAAAAACTAAAATGTGATGAATCTCAACGAGATTTTCTAAATATATATTTAAACAACATATATTACATGAAGCAGTACTGTCACATTATAGTCACCTGACCTGTCCAACATTTAAAGGAAGTGTCTTGTGAGGTGGCTATTTTTTCTTCTACCAAGTGGACTTATATCACTTTAAAATGAATTTTACAAAAAATAATTTCCAGAGACTAAAAATTAGGCATATATATGACACTTTCATCCATTGTTTTACATTATTGTTTTAAAGATTTATTACATTTTTAAGATATTTAGAGTCCCTTAATGATCTTCTTCACTTTTGAACTTGATGACTGTCATTTTTAATATAAACTTAATGAGTTTTATTTCCATATAGGAAATCACTCGACTTAAACTAAATTGCTGTACTTTAATATTTTTTTTATCACTTACAAAGTATGCGAATATATAAACCACACACAAATAACATACATAAAAATCCATGCATACCAATAAACACCTGAGGAAAAAGACAAGACAAAGTTAATAGTGTATTTTAATATGGTGTTTATTGAGCAAATGCTGCTGGGAAATTCATTCAGATGAACAAAGACATGGGACTGCAAACGGTAGCACCTCATTAACGGTAAGTATTTGAATTCAAGTCAATCCTATGCATACAAGAATGTATGTGCGCATTGATGGGTTTATTTTCAAATGCACTCATCAGGTAAACATAACTGACAACCGTAAAAAGCATGTTTAAGGCTAAGAGTTTCTTAGTTGCTTTATGTACTGAGTGTATATGACCATGGGCTATTTTCACCATCGTCTTCGGCCCTTGGTTTTTTGTTTATTTTTTTTACATTTTTGGCTCAGTTGGTGTCCTCGCGATAATATTTATGAAGCTACTTTTGTCAGAACACGTCTCTACATCCCTCGTTGCTCTAATTCAAAGTAAATGTCATTCCCCACCGCTCTGCGCGTATTTGATATTACTGTCATACATAGGGTGGTTATTTTTCTATCTCAAAAAACGAGGAGTGCACTCCCTCCTGAGCTGGCATGCAGATGCCACATTCAAGTGACTGCCCCCCTCCCCCAGCTATTGCAATTTAAACGAAAGTGAATGTGAGTCCCCGGCGTCCCGGACCGCATATGCAGCAGAACCCATTTAAAGCTTTCACTCAACATGCATTTTTTAGCTTGCCGCGTCTTATGGATTCTCTCTATGCTTGTTTTTGTTTCAGTGTGGTTAATGTAATACATCTGTTGAGCTTTATGATTTCTTCGTTATGTTAGTTTTGTGTTGATTGCTTGATATGCTTCCTCCCCGGTTCCTCTTCGGCCGGTTATAGCTGGACGCTAGGGCCTAATCTGCTTCGGTGGCCTTCGCTACCTGCTTCTCCACGGTTTTGGAGACCACCTTCTCCTGGACGGTTTCCTCCACCTCCTCTCCTTTCTCGGTGACGGTAACAGTTTTTGTGACTTTGACTCCACCTTCCCCTGTGGTGATGGTCTCCACCGTCTTGGTGATCACAACCCTCTGGCTCGTTTCATCTTTGGTTGGGCTCTCGTCCACTCCGTTGGAGATCATCTCCTTCTTATCGGACTCTTTCTTCTCATCTTTCTTGCCCATGTCTCCGTTCACAGTGGCCTCCTTCTTTTTGTCTTCTTTTTCAGGCTCTTTTTCTGGTTCACTTTTTTTAGTGGCTTTCTCATCTGCTGGCTTTGGGGAGTCTTCTTTAGCTTCTGCTTTCGGTGGTTCTGCCTTTGGTTCTTCTTTCTTAGGACTCTCAGTCTTGGGGGCTTCCTTTTTTGGAGCCTCTGTCTTAGGCGTCTCCTTCTTCGGGCTTTCACTCTTTGGACTCTCGCTCTTTGGACTCTCGCTCTTTGGAGATTCTGGTTTAGGCGTCTCTGTCTTGGTTTCTGTCACAGTTGCTTTTTCCTTCTCAGGTTTGGGCTCTTCCTTCTCCTCTTTTCCTTTCTTGTCTTCCTTTGTCGCTTCTGCTTCTACTTTCTTAGGCTGCTCCTTTGCTTCTGGTTCTTTTTCACCAGGTGATCCTTTGTCGCTACCTGCCTCTGCCTCATCTTTCTCATCACCCTCTTCCTCTTCTTCTGCTCCTTCTTCTCCTCCGCTGGTCTGTTTCTCCTCTGCTTTCTCACTCTCGGGAGAGGCCTTTGCCTCGGTTGCTTTAGTTTCCTCTGCATCATCCTCTTTCTTTTCCTCCTCACCCTCCTCTTCCTCTTCTCCCTTCTCTTCCTCTTCTTCATCCTTTCCTGCTTCTTCTTCTTCTTCTGCTTCTTCACCTCCCTCTTTCTCTCCCTCCTCTTCATCCTCAGCAGGGGCTCCGGAGGCTACTTTGGCTTGGCTGGACGCAACCACCTCCTCCTCTGCTTCTCCTTCCTCCTCACCTTCACCTTCCTCTCCTTTCTCGCCTTCCTCCTCACCACCTTCTTCATCCTTACCCTCCTCCTCTCCTTCTTCTTCTCCCTTGGCAGCGGACAACTCTTCTGCCATCTCAGCCAAAGCCTCGTCCATCTCAGACTTCTCATCCTCCACCCTGGTCTCCTCGATGATCTCCTCTACGAACTTGTGTTGCACTTTAAGCTTTGGAGGCTCACTTTTGACCTTGGGGCCTTTGGTGACGGACTGGCGATATGGGAAAGTGC